CAATCAGCATCTGAGTATCCAACGATCTGCTCATGACCTCGATCCTCAAACAGTAACCCTTTGCCTGGAGCTGATTTTATATACCGAATAATGCAGACAAATGCATCCCAATGACTATCACATGGAGAATTCATAAACTGACTTAACACTCACAGGATAAGAAATGTCGGGTCTAGTCACTGTGATTTCCAACCAGCCGTCTATAACTTGCAGGATCGCTAAGCGGCTCCCCCTGTCCTAGCATAAGTTTAGAATTCGGATCCATCGGAGTGTCAACAAGTCTGCAACCTATCATCCCTGTCTCCTCAAGAATGTCTAAAGCATATTTTCTTTGAGAAATAACAATACCTGAGCTAGACTGGGCAACCTCAATACCTAGAAAGTACTTCAATCTGCCTAGATCCTTAGTTTGGAAGTGTTGGAAGAGATGCTGCTTCAGATTGGTAATACCATCCTGATCATTGCCAGTAATAACAATATCATCAACATAGACTACCAGATAAATACAGAGACTTGAAGCAGAGTGCCGATAAAACACAGAGTGATCAGCTTCACTACGAGTCATGCCAAACTCCTGGATAACCGTGCTGAACTTACCAAACCAGGCTCGAGGAGACTGCTTTAGACCATAAAGTGACCGACGCAAGCGACATACAAGGCCACGAGACTCCCCCTGAGCAACAAAACCAGGTGGTTGCTCCATATAAACCTCATCCTCAAGATCACCGTGAAGAAAGGCATTCTTAATGTCCAACTGATAGAGGGGCCAATGACGAACCACAACCATGGATATAAAAAGGAGGACTGAAGCTACTTTAGCCACGGGAGAGAAGGTATCACTGTAATCGAGCCCAAATATCTGAGTATATCCTTTGGCAACAAGACGGGCCTTAAGTCGATCAATTTGGCCATCGGGACCAACTTTGACCGCATAAACCCAACGACAACCAACAGTAGATTTACCCGAGGAAAGAGGAACAAACTCCCAAGTACCACTTGTATGTAAAGCAGACACCTCGTCACTCATAGCCTGTCGCAATCCTGGATGAGACAACGCTTCACCTGTAGACTTAGGGATGGAAAACGAGGACAAAGAAGACATAAAAGCATAATGGGGAGATGACAGACGATGATAACTCAAACCGACATAATAAGGATTAGAGTTAAGTGTGGTTCGTATACCTTTCCGAAGGGCAATCGGTGTACTAGGAGCAGGGTCAGGTGCAGGACGAGAACCAGCTGGGCCTGATGTAGGGCGCGAACGACGATGATAAGTCAAGAGTGGCGTTCCTATGGCCGGGGAACTAGGAGGAACAACACTAGACTCCTCAACGGTTGGTATGGATGAAACCTCTGTGGTCGAAGGTAGAGGAGGAGCTATAGTAAACTCCTCAAAGGTCGGTATAGATAAGACCTCAGATATATCATGGTGGTCAGCAGAAGTAAAGAAAGGTTTAGACTAAAAAAAATATAACGTCAGCTGACATAAGGTACCTACGAAGATCTGGAGAATAACAACGATATCCCTTTTGAACACGAGAATAACCAAGGAAGACACACTTGAGAGCACGAAGAGCTAACTTATCTTTCCAAGGGGCTAAGTTATGAACAAAACACGTGCTCCCAAAAACACGGGGTGGAAGAGAGTATAAGGGTGACTGGAGAAACAATACTGAATGCGGAATCTGATCCTTGATGGGAGATGAAGGCATCCGATTAATCAAATAACAAGCTGTGAGAACTGCATCGCCCCAAAAACGCAACGGAACACGAGATTCAATTAGAAGTGTGCGAGCAGTCTCAATAAGGTGCTTATTTTTTCTCTCAGCAACCCCATTTTCCTGAGGGGTATAAGGACAAGATGTCTGATGAATAATTCCCTGATAGGCCATAAACTGCTGAAATTGAGAAGATAAATATTCTAAGGCATTATCACTGCGAAAAATGCGAATAGAAACACCAAATTGGTTTTTGATTTCAGCACAGAAACTCTGGAATATAGAAAATAACTCAGAACGATTTTTCATTAAGAAAAGCCAAGTACATCTTGAATAATCATCAATGAAACTAACAAAATAACGAAATCCCAAGGTTGAACTGACTCTACTTGGACCCCATATATCATAATGAACTAAGGAGAAGGCAGACTCTGCATGACTCTCAACACTACGCGAAAGGAGGCTCGGGTATGTTTCCCAAGCTGACACGACTCACAATATAATGTAGACAAACTAGATAAACTAGGCACCATCTTCTGAAGTTTGGATAAACTCGAATGTCTTAAACGTCTGTGGATTAGATCTGGAGGATCTGTAACTAGACATGTTGTGGAAGGACTAAGTGAGTTAAGGTAGTAAAGGCCTTCTGATTCACGTCCTGTACCAATTGTCTGTCCCGTACTGCGGTCCTGCATAATAAAAGAATCGTCAATAAAATATATACCACAATGGAGGGCACGAGTCAAACGACTAACAGATGCAAGACTAAAAGGACAGTCAGGGACATAAAGAACGGAATCTAGAGTGATAGAAGACAAGGGATTAGCTTGTCCAACTCCTTTTGCCTTAGTTTGACATCCAGACTGTGAATATACAATATTTGACAAAAGTGATATATTACTAGAGATGTGATCAGAAGCGCTCGAGTCCATGACCCATGGGCCAAAAGTGCTAAACTGGGAAACACAAGCAAAAGAATTACCAGTAACAGAAGTATCAGTCTGAGCAACTGAGGCTGCTTGTGGAGATGTCTACTTACTTGCTCGATACTAAAGTAGCTCATTATATTCTTTTTTAGATAAAGAAAATCCATGATTACCTGGAGTANGTTACCTGGAGTCTCGGTCTGAGCAATGTAAGCATTTTTGGGTGGACGACCATGTAAGGAATAACACATTTCACGAGTGTGTCTAAGTTTGTGACAATAAGAACACTTGGGTCTAGATCTTCCAAAACGACCTCTTCCTCGTCTATGCTCCAGTCCATAGTTTGACATGCCCGAACATCCATTGTCTGGGATGCAAGAACAGAGGAATCAAGTATCTGTGATGAGATCACTGGGTGACTTGGTGCTGCAGCAAGGCGGAGTAATCGAGAGAATAATTCATCAACTGTCGGGACAGTCGGACTAGCCAAAATCTGGTCGCGTACTGAATCAAGATCATTAGGAAGTCCAGCAAGGGTTAGAACGAGAAACATCTTCTGTCGTTGCTCTTGTTGTTTTTCAACACTAGCAGAAACTGGCATCAATTTCTCAAATTCCTCCATGACGGCCTGTACTTGACCCAAGTAAGTAGACATATCTAATTCCTGATTCTTTAAGTTTGTCATACGCGATATCACATCATAGAAGCGAGATATGTCATTAGTGTATAAGGTGCGTGCCTTTACCCAAACCAAATAACATGTCTGGAATGGACGAAACAAGGGCATCAACTTGGAATCAATAGATCGCCACAAGATGCTACATAACTGAGCATCGATTTTTGTCCAAAGTGCTATTGCCTTTTCATCTCCTTCGCTAGACTGTTTGATTAGATGATCTTGAACACCTTGGCCACTACACCACAACTCGACAGATGAAGCCCAAGCTAAGTAGTTTGAACCTCCCATTAAAGGTTCCGAAGTAATAATAACACTAGAGCTTCCAGAACTCATGTTTCTAGACCCAAAAGCATCAAATCCCAAAGACATTGTTGTAAATTATTACCAAATAAGAGAAAGAATCAACTGTAATCCACTGAAATAGAGCAAGGAAACACAGAAACAGAATAATGAAATACTGTAGCAGCCGGAATCTTACTGTAGCTGTCAGAATAGTGCTGTAGCAGCCGGAAAAACTCAAAGTGGTCGGAATGAAATGAAAACAGTAGGGGTAGGATCGGAATTACCAGGCGACCCAACTATTCTGAGGGAAATTTTTCAAAAAATGGCCGGAAGTGGTCGTACGCGCCGGCGCGTGAGCTTCTGGTGGCGCGTGAGGAAGCTGCTGCCGGAGATTTTCACTGGGGTTTGGTCGCCGGACAGTGACTACTCTTGTGGTAGTGTTAATTTTTGCACAACACTGACGGAGATAAAGCAGACGCAAACAACCTTGAAAAAGTCGCCGGAAAAAGACTTCCGGTGACTGATTTCTCTTCCCGGAGTCGCTGGAATTTATGCGCAGCGATAAATCTCTCACAATTGCTCTGATACCATGTGAGAAGGCACGGGAGAAAATATGTTATTGATATTGGATGTTCAATACAATACAAGAGGTCCTTATTTATAGCTATACTATACAAGGACATACTACTCCTATTCCAATGTGGGACAAGACTACACCATATACATAGCTGTAAACTAACATGAATAAATCCAGCAAAACAAATAAATCCAAAATTTTATCTTTTCGTCTCCAGTTTGCCCTGGGCTTCAACAATCTGAGTGTATGCAATAAACTGCCAACAACGAACCTGAACTTCAAGTGCTGCTTCCCTCCCAATAGTCAACATCTGTACTTTTCCACGCTCCTTCAGACAATCACGGAAATTTGGCAAGTGAAGCTTCTTGCCAGAAAGAAAATCTGCCACAGGGAAAAATTAATAAGTGAAGCATTCAAAAGGCTGTTTAATGCTCAAATTGCACAAACTGATGGAATTATTAGATACAGAAGCTATAGTATTACCCCAGCAGCACAATTCCAATGAAGGCCGCTTTTCAAATGCTGGCAATTATGACTTGCAATGAAATAATTTGAACAGGAATATCTTCTTATAAAAGAGATGAAATGCAAATTTTCAAGGTATGTAATAAAGCCTCACCACTTAAATAATCCATAACAAAATAATACAAATGCGTCCTGGTAAGCCCTCCACTCGGTTCTCTATCGAGTAATGCTCTGATGGACCCGTGAAACATCACAAAGAGAGAGTGAACTTCTTTAAGAACATTTCGTAAAGCATCAGTCCGCCATATGGCTTCTGACTCACTTTTCTCCACCACCTAAACATGGTACACCACCAGAAAAGCTAATAAATAACATAAAAGTTACAAAGCATAACAAATTTCTTCTGCAATGGCAATAAAAACGTGAGGAAATTTGTGTTAGTCCAAGAAATTTCTGTATCTGAACTTTCTTGTTCCCATTAAGAAAGTCATATTCAGCTTTTAACCAACAAGAAATGATAGTCATGCTTAACCATCCTATCTTCTCCAGTAAAATTTTATTCAAAGAATTTTCTTCCCGAATAGATTCCTTTCTCTTCCCCAGACACCGAACAAAGGGAACCCTGGGAAATCTATTTAAGACCCAACTGCATATACAAACCATAGTACTATTGTATTAAGCATCCTACAGAATTTGAGATATTATACTAAATCAAAAGCATAGAAAATATGGATACAAATCCATAAAGCACTATGTGTATCTCAAGGTTGTTATGCCTATGTCCAACATGAGATCCATGTTACTCCATTGTTTGAACCACATGTCTGAGCATGCCACAAAGTAGGGACTCCCTATGGTTCGTTAGTGCAGTTTGTCAACTATGATATTGAACAGTTTATTTAGACTTCAAACAGAAATATTATGGAAAGAAATTTACTGAGTTACCACTTGTCTTTTCATCTTTCCTAACCTAGTCCTCAACCTTCTAGGCTTCAGTTCACTGCAGGTGGTAGTCCTGGAATTGTTCATTGAAGTAAAACTATTCAAGTATGGGCAAAAAAATCCAAGAAGCAAGTAAGGATGTACCATCAGATTTAAAACATCTGTGAGTTATGTATCCACTTATATACAGCAACAATTACATCAGTGAGCTTATATCCAGCCTCCATATTGATCATCCTTTCAAATTTAGCAGGTAGAAGGACAGACCAGCATTGTACAATCTCCCAAATCAGTAAAGATAATAAGTGATCACCACACATAATTATCTAATCCGATTATTGGCAGAATTATCCTCCATACAGTTCACCAAAGAATTAAAATTCAACCACGTCATGAAGTGCCAGGTAAAGTTTATTGGTTGAAGCAGAACAATGATAATATAAGTGCAAGAAATCATACCATCACCATCCAAATATCACGTTCTGCCTCATAGAAAACATGTGAGTGCATCTCTGCTTCAATAACCTCACACGGAGCCTCGGGGGAGAATATTCTGCAACAAAAATAAAATAGAGGATACTACCATATGACTTGAAAGATCCATGAATCGTACAACTGCAAGAAGTTGACAACAGCATCCAGATGGCACAGTCATACATATCAAAGATTACCTATCTTTCAGAGCTGAAAAAGAAGATAGTAAATGCAAGATGATCGAAATCTTAGCCTTAAAAATAACATATCCACGTTGAAGAATCCCATTGCTCTTCATTAAGCACAACAACTTCAATCTAGGAACAATCTTCAAGCTCTTTTTTCTTTACCTCTTTAATGCCTCTACTATGAGAATGCACAAACATGAGCTCAACTATCTATCAACCTAATGATATGACTGAATAATCCTTTGGGTAAGAATGAATGTCTATTGATGAAAGGATATGAACAGAGGGAAAGATCTTCCTCAAACTAAGAACTAAAAGCTCTATCCAAGAATACAGACTTCAATAACATTGCAGATCAGTTATCAAGACACCGTGAAAGAAGTAATGTGAAAGTTTAAAAATCATAGCAACCAATCTGGTTATCCCTTCTTTGAGAAAGAGCTTTAAAAAGAATCACATGAATTTTCTACTCATTAATAGATACAAGTGCAGATATGTGAGTGCCAGTCACAACAAACCTGGTGAATGTTATGAGCCCTTCACTAAGCCCTATCACAGAGAGTTGGGTGGGGAAAGGCAAATCAGCAGGAAAGAAAAATAAAATCTTGTCCAACTCCTGCCCTTCATGTTGTCCCCTTCTCAAATCAAATATGCACAGTTTCATAGCTTCATTGACAGAGCTTGCCGCCGACATGCCCATTTTTCCGCTCCCTTCCTATCACCAAGATATCAAGTTTCCAAATCAAAACTAGACTAGGTTCACAAATAGGACACATCTAATATGAATTAACATACAAGATTTTAATTATCTGAATTTTACATCACGCATGCATAACTTATCAAAAGTCTTATTGAAGAATAACAACAATAGTATTTCTAATACAAAGTGTCTCTTTCTTCTTCTCTTATCCTTCCGTTTTCTTTCTTCTTTTTACCGGTAAAAAAATTTGTTTCTAGTAAAACTAACAATATGATTGCCACAAAAAAAATAAACCAATAATTTTACATACAATCAGTAAAGCCACAAAGCACTTCAGAAAACACTAAATCTACATTCAGTTCGTTTGCTTTATGCTTATCTGAAACTCGCAGTATTTTGTGCAGTCTGCTACTAAAGACCAGAACAACCCATCAGACTAGGTGATTTCTTGTCATCTGCATAAGCCTTGGTGGGCAGTTACCCAGCGGAATAGTCGAGGTGTGGGCAAGCTGGCCCGAACACAATCATTATTATTAAAAAAAAAAAACTTTTATGATCAGATGAATCATTTCCTTTTCTCATCATAGGCAACAGCAAAACACATAGTAAAACGTTCTTTGAGGTGTTTATATGATGCATTTTGTGCTTAATTCAGTTGAAATTCATTACTAGGGTACTATACTATATCAATGAGCAGCATCAAATGTGCTCTTTTCTCCATGATCTCCAGAATTAGTAAGTTAATACAACCTTAACGAACATGAATTCACCTAGACTGCTCTATCTGTTCGCAATTTGATCCTTAGTTACTGTAGAGTTAGGGATATGCAAACCTAAAATTAGCATTACAAAAGAATCTGAATTAGTATTAGGGTTTTTTATTTTTTTTCCTCACTGAGTTCGATTTAAGAGATACTTACAGAGTGTCTTGCCGGAGCCGGACCGCCGAGCTGTTGTGTTGGGTCTCGCCGGAGCCGGACTTGGGGTTTATAGTAGGGAAGAGAGAGGAATTAAACAAAAATACAACAACAATTTTACATCATCACTTTAGAATTCTTAACAAGGTATAAATAGAACTAATAAGAAAAAGTAAATATTGTCGGTTCTCTCTCTCTCTCTTTTTCAAATGAAATAGAGAACTATAATTGTAATATTAAAATCAAATTATTAGAAATAGATGAAAGTTAAAATTAATTCTTTGTTATAAAATAAAGACAGTAAAGTAAAGACAAGTATAGAGAGAAACTGATATATTATTGAAACTTCAAACTTATGTACATAATGAACTGAATTGTCCTCTATTTATAGAAGAAATGAAGCAGCTACTGCAAGCTGCTGTGTAAGCTGCTACTGCAAGCTGCTGTGTAAGCTGCTTGTAACTGTTGTGCCAGATATAGATAATCTTCTATCATGAGTAATATATATCCATAACGGAGTACCGAAAGGATAAGCTTCTTCAGGAGGCTTATTTCCAATAGAGTACTAAATAGATAAACATATTTACGACGGAGTCTCATATGGATAAACTTGTTCAGGAAGCTTATTTACAACGGAGTACTAAATGAACATCCATAATATAATATATTCATAACGCTCCCCCTTGGATGTTCATTAAAAGATGATGTGCCTCGTTAAAACCTTACTAGGAAAAACCCCGTGGAAAAAAAATTCTAGTGAAGGAAAAAGAGTACACATATTTAGTAATACGCATTGCTAGCTGCCTCATTAAAAACCTTATAAGAAAAACTCTGTGGGAAAAAAACTTAATAAGGAAAAAAGAGTACATCGCGTATTTTTCTCCCCCTGATGAAAATCTTATTTCAAATATTTAAGTCTCTGCATTCCAATCTTGTATACCATCTTCTCAAAAGTTGAAGTTGGTTAAGATTTGGTAAATAAACCTGCCGGATTGTCACTTGAACGGATTTGTTGCACATCAATGTCACCATTTTTTTGAAGATCGTGTGTGTAGAATGATTTTGGTGAAACGTGCTTCGTTCTATCTCCTTTTTATAAATCCTCCTTTCAATTGGGCTATGCATGCAACATTGTCTTCGTATAAAATTGTGGATCTTTTCTCACATTCCAAACCATATTTTTCTCGAATAAAATGAATCATTGATCTCAACCATACGCATTCCCTACTTGCTTCATGAATAGCTACTATCTCAGCATGATTTGAAGAAATATCAACAACTGACTACTTTGTGGAGCGCCATGATATGACAGTACCTCCACATGTAAACACGTACCCGGTTTGAGATCGAGCTTTATGGAGATCAGATAAATAACCTGCATCTACATAACCAACAAGATCTGCACTACCTTTGTTAGCATAAAACAAACTCATATCAAGAGTTCCCTTTAAATATCGTAAAATATGTTTAATCTCATTCCAATGTCTCCGAGTAGGAGAAGAGCTATATCTTGCTAGTAAATTAACAGAAAATACTATGTCAGGCCTTGTAGCATTAGCAAGATATATTAGTGCGCTAATTGCACTGATATAGGGTATTTCAGGACCAAGGAGTTCCTCATCCTCTTCTGGAGGTCGGAACGGGTCCTTATTCACTTCAAGTGATCGAACAACCATTGGTGTACTCAATGGGTGCACTTTGTCCATGTAAAAGTGTTTTAAGACCCTTTATGTATAGGCAGATTGATGCATAAAGATCCCGTTTGCTAAATGTTCAATTTGCAGACCAAGACAAAGTTTTGTCTTTCCAAGATCTTTCATCTAAAATTCTTTCTTAAGATATTCAATTGCCTTTTGGAGCTCTTCTGGAGTTCCACCAAGGTTTATGTCATCAACATAAACAGCAAGTATAACAAATTTTAATGCCCTTTTTTTTATAAAAATATATGGACAAATAACATAATTTATGTAACCCTCTTTCAGTAAATATTCACTAAGGCGATTATACCACATGCGCCCTGATTGCTTTAAACCGTACAAAGATCTTTGTAATCTGATTGAATACATTTCCCGAGATTTTGAATATGCTTCAGGCATTTTAAATCCTTTAGGGATTTTCATGTAAATCTCATTATCAAGTGACCCGTACATATAAGTTGTAACCACATCCATCATATGTATTTCAAGCCTTTCACGCAAGGCTAAACTTATGAGATATCGAAATGTTATGGCATCCATAATAGGTGAATATGTTTCTTCATAATCGACTCCAGGTCGTTGTGAGAATCCTTGTGCGACAAGGCGAGCCTTGTATCTTTCAACTTCATTTTGGTCATTCCTTTTTCGCACAAAAACCCATCTATGACCAACTGGTTTTATACCAGCATGTGTTTGGACTACTAGTCCAAAGACCTCTCTTTTAGCAAGTGCATTCAATTCTGATTGAATTGCCTCTTGCCATTTTGGCTAATCAGATTTTTGTTGACATTCTTCGACAGATCGGGGTTCAAAATTCTCACTATCTTGCATAATGTTAAGTGCAACATTATAAGCAAAAATATTATCAACCACTATTTCAGATCGATTTAAATTAATCCCATCACCAGTAGAACTTATTAAAAGTTCCTCGCTCACTTGAGTCTCGGGTTCAGTAATTTCTTCATGAATCTCATAACTAATCAGATCTTGGGTCTCTTCAGGAGATCCCTTCATAATATCATTTTGATCATTTGTCGATTTTTCTTCTTCTAGGATTTCGATCCTTAGAACCCACAGGCCTACCACGCTTCAGGCGTGCTATAGGTTCACTAGCTCTCATGCTAGTAGATGGTCCTGCTGGGACATCAATTCGGATAGGCACATTCTCTGCAGGGATATGTGACTTAGTTATCTTTTTCAAATCAGTAAATACGTCTAGCATTTGATTTGCTATACTCTGTAAATGGATGATCTTCTGGACCTCCTGATTACATATAGGGGTACGTGGATCAAAGTGAGATAATGATGAAACTTTTCACACAATTTCTCTTTTGATTTCCTTTTTCTCTCCCCCTAATTGTGGAAAATTTATTTCATCAAATCGACAATCTACAAATCGAGCAGTAAATAAATCTCCCGTCAATGGTTTAAGATAGCGAATAATAGAGGGTGATTCAAACCTAACATATATTCCTAACCTTCTCTACGGGCCCATCTTACTGCGCTATGGTGGTACTACTGGCACATATACAGCACATCCAAAATTTTGTAGATGAGCAATATTTGGTTCATGACCAAAAACTAATTGTGACGGAGAATATTTATTATAATGTGTCGATCTGAGACGAATAAGTAATGCTGCATGCAAGATAGCATGGCCCCAAACAGTAGTGGGCAATTTTATTGTCATAAGTAGTGGTCTTGCTATCAATTGCAGGCGCTTAGTAAATAACTCCGCAAGGCCATTTTGAGTATGAACATAAGCTACAGAATATTCAACTTTTATTCCAACTAATAGACAATAATCATCAAAAGCTTGAGATGAGAATTCTCCAGCATTATCAAGGTGAATAGCCTTTTATAGGATAATCTGGGAATTGTGCCCTTAATCGAATTATTTGGGCTAATAACTTTGCAAACGCCAGGTTGCGAGATGATAGTAGGCCCACATAAGACCATATTGGAAGATGCATCTATTAAGACCATAAAATATCTAAACAGCCCACTTGGTGGGTGAATAGGTCCACATATATCCC